GGCTTCACCCTTGCAACATCTCCAAGATCTTGCCAACAAGCTCTTAAATGATCTTCTCAGCCAATAAAAGAAGGCACAAGCCTTACATCAGAATATCTTTTCTTAGTACTGCACACCCTGTGGCTGAGACAAGGTTACCTAACAGCTACAGCGAGCCGACTCGCTCTTTCAGTTACTGCATATGCTGCAATAGGAGAAATACGTGCCTGGTCTCGAGAGCCGTTTGGAATGAAATCGGAACTAGTGCTGGCTAACCTATTAGATGTCTATTTCCAAATGAGCTGCACTTTGCTACTGGTAGATTATGCATTCGGGGGGGGAAACGCTGTAATCACAGTTCTCTCAGAAATCAATGTCAGACTTCCTTTAGAAGCTGGGAGAGTAAGCTGCAAAATGATCAGCCCTCCTGTACACTCCGAGAAGGCTTGGCGTGGGGGAGCAGTAAGGTGTTGCATTGCTACACGTTTCTGTGCAACAGTGGCATCTAGTGGCGGGTGAAGATGAAAATACCGTGTCCTGACACATGTCTCTGTTGCAAAATCAGTGTGGCAAAAAGCAAAGCACCACCTAGCACACTGTGACTGTAGATCTGTTGTAGCAAACATGCAGGGGATTGAGTGCAATTCCACCTGGCTCACTTATCTGGTCTAGCCTGATGCTCTCAACAGGAGCAAACTCCTGGGAGCTACAGGTGGAGACATACTGCCCGTGGGGCCGTCTCTGCTCTCATAGGAGTGGAGCGTGCATACTCCATTTCAGTGAAAACAGTAACTCGTGAGCTGAGTGAGTGGGGCGAGGGAATGCAGTAGTCGTACAGGCTAGATCTCTGCTGCAAGGCTGCCATGCCCGGCTAGCAATTCCCCCTCTTGCGGGGGCTTGCCTGTAGGCTGTCAGTTCAGCAGTATTCCCCATCTGGTCGATGGTCTCCCTAAAAGAACAAATAATAAAGTACAGGCGGATGGCTCCTGCAGTGTACAGGAGAACAGGCTGTGGCTGTACCAGCAATGTTGCAAGTTGCACGACTGCAGGTGCCTTTGTGGTGACTGGCTGCTGGGAGCGGTGTGAGGGGAGCCATAGATTTGATGCGCTGTTGGTGTTCCTGCACAGCTGTCTGAGCATTACCCTCCCTCCCGCTGGGCTGCAGGTGTGCACAGCACGCAGCTCAGACGGACCCACCTACTGCAGGGCACGACTGGCGCAAGCTCCCAGGCTCACGCTGGTGCAGGAACCTCGGATTTCCCTAACCGCCCCGCCTCCCACTAGCAATCACCGGTAGCACCTTTTAGAGAGCTGTTGGTCCCGGAAGAGGAAAGCTCACGGCAGACAGTTGTGACCAATGGCAAGGTTAATTATGCAAGTTGTAGGGTGGTGCAGTTTCCCAAGACTCAGATTCCCATTTAGACACCAAATGTTAACAGCAAAGCCCAACCGACCTATAGCTTCTTTATATAATGTCGGCTAATAGAGTCCCGGCTTCTCAACCCCGCAGGCTGCTGTGATACATGAGACTGAATGCAATTGCCTTTTCCAGCACTTAAACACCGAGGAATAAGCACCACAGGAAATATATGGACTGCCTGGAGGGGTTATTTAACTCTTGTAAAGAGAAATTACTGGCCAGCTGCCTGAAACTTTAAGTGCAAAGCTGGAGGCAGGCTTGATACTTTCCTTGCTGTCCACCATTGCATAAGACTTAAAACTAGGCTGAGTAAAGTACTAGAAAATACTCTAGGGACCCTTCCTCTGCTAGCAGGAAATGGGCGTCCATCGCCTCCGAGAGGAAATGTTTGAGTGTCTGGTCTGATTCTACTTTAGAGCAGTCTAAGGCGCAAGCTGCCGCCTTCCCACTGCCAGTCTGTATTCTGCACTAGGTTTTTCCATTTTATTTGCTTTAATGAGTGAGGCTGCCCTTTGTCTGGAGCCAGGCTTAGTGGGAGCAGGTGCTCTAAGCTGCTGCGACACAGCCTTGCCAATGTACCTCTCTCATGGCCCACTCTGCAGTCCCTGCTCCAGCGAGGCCCAGACTGCTAGAGGTGCTGGCCTTAGCCATGTAGTAAGAGACCTGGCAGTGGCTGGGGGGCCGGGCTAGCATGAAATCCCCAATGGTGAATGGCTACTGCTTTAGCCCGCTGCCTCTCTGACGTGCCCGTTTGAAGGAGGAAGGCAAGAGGCTGCTAGGTAACCTTGAGAGAGACGCTTGCCCACTGTTTAAACGCCCAGGCCAAGGCTGTCTTGAGTCTTTAAGTACGCAGTTGGTTCCT